TCCTCCTCCTCCGCCTCCTCCTCCTCATCATCATCATCAGCAGCATCAGCAGCATCAGCGGCATCAGGAGCATCAGCATCAGCATAAGCATAGCATCAGCATCAGCATCAGCATCAGCATCAGCATCAGCATCATCATCATCAGCATTAGCATCAGCCGCGTCCTCGTCATCGTCGTCGTCAACATCATCACCCTCCTCCTCCGCCTCCTCCTCCTCCTCATCATCATCATCAACAGCATCACCCTCATCCTCCTCCGCCTCCTCCTCCTCCTCCTCCTCATCATCAGCATCAGCATCAGCATCAGCATCAGCATCAGCATCAGCATCAGCATCAGCAGCAGCAGCAGCAGCAGCATCATCATCATCATCATCATCATCATCATCATCATCATCATCATCATCATCATTCTCATCCCCCTCATCATCCTCATCATCCTCCTCCTCCTCATCATCATCCTACTGATCCGTTCCATTCGTCCTGGCGGGTCGCGTCGCGCGAGCTGGCCCCAACGGTCATGTCGGGTCGGGCGGGACAGTAACCTGATCGAGCCGGCACGCGAGAGCTCTAGTGGGAGGCTCGGGGCGAGGGGGCGTACCCTCACGGGCGGGTCGGGTCGGGCGGGCGGAACATTCAAAGAAGATGCGTCATCGAGCTGGGCACGCAGGAGCCCTCGAGGGCGGGCCTGGCTGGGCGGGCACGATCGGTCAGATGGGGCCTGGCGGGTGGGACATGAACATATGATACCTGATCGAGCTTGCACTCGAGAGCTCCAGCGGAAAGGTCGGGTCGGGCGCGCGGGCCCAAACGGGCGGGTCCGGTCAGGCGGGCGGGGCATTCAAATTTGATGCGCGGTCGATTCGGCAACCGAGAAACCTGGCGGGCGGGCCGGGCCGGGCGAGAGGACCTCAACGGGCGAGTCGGGTCGGGCGCGCGGGACATGACGGTATTGTGCGCGGGACATGACGGTATTGTGAGAGCCATCACCTGCGGACCGGGTCGAAACGGGCGGGCCCTCGTGGGCGGGTCGGGTCGCGCGTAGCATTGCAGTATAACGCGTAATCGGACTGGCACGCGAGAGCCCTATCGCGTGAGGCTGCGCGGCTGCCCCACGCAATAATAGAGGCCTCCTAGATGGGATCCGAGTAGATGGCGTCGGAGGATCGCGCCGCATCGGCGATGCATCGGCGATGCATCGGCGATGCATCCGCGATGCATCAGCGATGCATCGGCGACGTCGGCGATGTATCGGCGACGCCAACGTGGAAAAAGTCGGGCTCCACATCGCGCCGCATCGTCGATGCATCGGCGAGCGCCGCGATCCTCCGACCCCGTCTGCTCAGAGCTCATCTAGGAGGCCCAGAACTAATCGACAGGGCGCGCAGTAATACCAACCCAGGCGCCGCCCTTGCTACTCTAGCGAAGCATGCGCCACACTGCTCAGGGACTCCCGCAGAGTTGTAATTTTCTTTATGGGGGCTCGCTTAAAACTTGCTCTGTTTTCTCAAACGCGTCGGGGCCGTTTGCCTGGCCCTCGATCACCGGGCCTCCCATTCGCTGGCCCGTTCGCAAGCCCCCTGTTCGACTGTCACCTTTCGCGTTTCCACAAGACCGGGACCACAAGGGCTCAATGTTCCGCTACTCCCACTTCTCAAACGAATGGGGGCCGATCGCCTGGTCCCCGATCGCCGGTCCCCTGGTTGCTGGCCCCGCTGGCCGGCCATCTTGTTCGACAATCCTCATTCGTTTGCCAACGTGCACGGGGCCACAAAGGCTCTATGATCCGCAAGCCCCAGGGTGTCCTGTTCTACGGTCGGTGCTTTCTGGAGAAGCCCTATGGGAGGCCAGGGGGAGGGAACCGAGCGGGGTGGGATGGGGGGGGCTCTCTAGCGCTAGGCAATACTTTAATTCCAGGAAGATGCCGCAAAGGACCCCCAGCGGGGGCTTCACTCCCGAAGCCCCGTCGTGGCTGCGGACAGCCGCCGAACGTGCGTCCTCCTCCTCCCTCCTCCTTCCCTCCCTCCCTCCCTCCCTCCCTCCTCCTCCTCCTCCTCCTCGTCCTTCTCTGCTTGCCCAATCCCATTTCCTAATGAACAACTCCGCCCTGTCGCACCCCGAGGCCAATCGGAAGAGCGGGCCGTGCGTTTCGCCTGAGACTTCCACACCATTTCTGATCCTGAAGCTTAACCTGTCCAGCAATTTTTGAGATGGAGGGCGGGTCGGTTTCAAAACATGTGGCTCTCGTCCTAGCGCCGCGCACATTCATTTGTAAGCATTAGAACGCATTCACGGATTGAGGGCGGGTGTGTTTCAACCATGTGGCTCTCGCCTTAGCGCCGCGCACATCCGTCTTCCACATTCACCCACACTTTACGGATTGAAGGCGGGTGGTTTTCAAAATGTGGGTCTCGCCTCAGCGCCGAACATATCCGTCTTAACACGTTTAAGGACTTTCACGGAATGAGGGACGGTGTTTTTCAAAGTGTGGCTGTCGCCTTAGCGCCGCGCACACCCGCCAGAAGCATTTGTAAGAGTTACACGGATGGAGGGCGGTTCCTTGTTAAACTGTGGCTCTCGCCTTCGCGCCGAGCACATCCGTCCTAACATGTGCAAGACTTTCGCGGATGTAAGGACGGCAATTGTTCCAAATGTGGCTCTCGCCTTAGCGCCGAACACATTCGACTGAACACATTGCACAAACTTCACGGAGGGAGGGCGGGCGGTTTTCACAAGGTGGCTCTCGCATTAATGCCGCGCACACTCGCCGTAACTTTGCAGTTTTACTGCTGGAGGCCGAATTATTTTTCAAAATGTGGCTCTCTCATTAGCGCCACGCGCATGTGTTTTGAGGGTTCATAGCAGTTTCGCGGAGTCCCATTGCTAACATCAGAGCAATAATGTTTTGGCACGATGTCGGACTGTCAGGGCGCAACAGTTACCTTGAATTGTGGCGTTGGAATCCCAGAAATGGTGTTCTGGCACGATTCAGGGTCGTCGAGACGCAACAGAATTGGTGATTCGCGGCGTTGACGTTCCATGAACGGTTTTCTGCCACAGCTCACGATTTTCAAACGGTTGTTTTCCAACGGGGCACTTCCTTCAGTGAACATCGATTCTTGTGGGGACCCATGAAGAGGGAGCTTGGAGGGAGGGTTGATTGCAACATCGTTGATGAGTCTTGGGTTTACACTGGTCCTGCTGGCCTCCTCTTCCTCTTTGGACGCCCGAAGTGGGCACGGAAAGAATGGGTACAATGCCCAACAACATCTGTTGTCCCAAACCAAAAGCGGCCGCTGTTGGGCAGGCGGCCTTCTGTCTCAAATGGTCACAGGCCGCGGCGGCGCGGACAGCGAGACCTGATCAAAATGAACGGAATTGCTGTTGGGCATTGTACACATTCTTTCCGTACCCATTTCGGGCGACCAGAGTTGATTGCAACATCGTTGATGAGTCTTGGGTTTGCGCTGGTCCTGCTGGCCTCCTTTTCCTCCGGGAGTCTCCAGGAGGGGGAGACCTCCCGGAGGCCTCCTCTAGCAGAGGTCTCCCGCGCTGGTCTAGAGCTCCTCCAGGAAACCGAATCCTCCCAGCCAGACCTCCCCGAAGCCTCCCGGAGGACCAGGGGAGGCCTCCTGGAGACCTGCCCTGGTCCTCTGTGAGGCCTCCCCGCGTTGTCAAGAGAAGGAGGGGGGAGGCCTCCCGGAGGAACCAACGGAGGCGTCCCGGAGGCCTCCCGGAGCAGACCTCCCGGACGTCTCCCCTGGTTCTCCGGGAGCTCTCCTGGGAAGAGGAGGACTCCGCACGAGAGGCCTCCCGGAAAACCAGGGGAAGCCTCTGATGCGGAGGTCTCCCCTGGTCCTCCAGGAGGTCTCCCAGGAGCCTCTGGAGGAGGCCTCTGGGAGGTCTCCCGGGGTCCTGAAGACCAGGGGTGACCTCCAAGAGGCCTCCTTTCCAAAGGAAGAGGCCCGTGGGAGGTCTCTGTAACCTCTGTTATTGCTACCCTTATGCAGAATTGAACGAAACCCTGTCTTTTCAACTCGACCTCAGGACCTCGCTTAGGGTGTGTTCCGCACAGGACCCGAAAAGAACTCCAGCCGTGGCGACGGAGGGCGCTCCAAGAGGCCCACAAACGGTCGGACCGTTTGAACCGTCGACTAACGGCGCAACCACCGACCGGACCGAACCGACCGAACGCAACCGACTGCGACGCAGCCGAACCGACCGCACCACGACCTCCCTTTCGGGAGCGGCCAAGAGGGGGGTGTCCAAGAGGGGTGTGTGCAAATCATGACCGGCGGCATGTGCGCGGCCCAGCGGGGGGGCCAGGAACGTCATGAAATAAGAAGAGGCGCCATGAAATCTGGGGAGATATCATGGCCCCCGCCATGATATCCCCTCCCCTAGTCATCACCCCCCTCTTTTCCGCCCCCGACCCTGGGGGCCCCGTCCCCCTCGGCAGGACCGGCACGGGGCGCAGCTACAGTACAGGAAGCCGCAGAGTTTCTCGTAGCACCACGAGAGGGTGCCGCCGATGGAGCCGCCACAGAACCTCTGGCACGGACCTCAGCCCCGCGATCTCGGCCCCGTGTTTGCCACGGCCGCCGCCGCCGTGGTCGTCGTGGACGTCGTCGCCGCCTTCGATCGGTCGAGGATCGATCAAGGCTCTGTCGGAGACTTATCGAGGGTCGATCGATTCAGGTTTCTTTCCCCCCGATTTCGGCCTCCGGCAGCCTGACCTGGACTCTGGGGCCACCGTCACCGTCGACTTGCCGCGGTGGTGGTCGTCGTCGTGGGCAGCGTCATGGTCGACGTCCGCTTCCGTCCCCCGTCGTCGCCGTCGCCGCCGCTGCGAATGGAGTGAGAGGGGGAAGGAACTGGGGGAGGAGGAGGAGGAGGAGGAGGAGGAGGAGGAGGAGGAGGAGAGGAGGAGGAGGAGGAGGAGGAGGAGGAGGAGGAGGAGGAGGAGGAGGAGGAGGAGGAGGAGGAGGAGGAGGAGGAGGAGGAGGAGGAGGAGGAGGAGGAGAGGGGGGAGGGGGAGGAGGACGAGAAGGAGGAGGCGGAGGAGGGGGAGGAGGAGGAGGAGGAGGAGGAGGAGGAGGAGGAGGAGGAGGAGGAGGAGGAGGAGGAGGAGGAGGAGGAGGAGGAGGAGGAGGAGGAGGAGGAGGAGGAGGAGGAGGAGGAGGAGGAGGAGGAGGAGGAGCGAGGAGGAGGAGGAGGAGGAGGAGGAGGAGGAGGGAGGAGGAGGAGGAGGAGGAGGAGGAGGAGGAGGAGGAGGAGGAGGAGGAGGAGGAGGAGGGGAGGAGGAGGAGGAGGAGAGGAGGAGGAGGAGGAGGAGGAGGAGGAGGAGGAGGAGGAGGAGGAGGGGAAGGGGGAGGAGGCATGGTGAGGGAGAGAAGGACGAGCAGCAGGATGTCGAGAGGGGCGTCGAAGTCTATTTGGTTCCCCGCAAGGGCCACAGCTTCCCCCCAATTAAGGTTGGTCTGCCAAGAGGGGGGGCGCCCCCTCCGAACCCCTCGCCCTCTGAGTTCCTCCTCCCCTCCCCGATCCCCATCCCCCATCCCCAGCGCCCCCCTTTATCGGATCAACCGGATCAACAATTCGGAACCAGATCGGCGAGAAACTGGATCGGAAGAGATCTGGAAACCGCACATCGGATCGGACCACCACCAGAATCCTGACTGCCCCTCGGACCGGGAACGAAACCGAGCCCGCCGCAGCGGCCTCGAACTCGGGAGCCAAGCCCGCTGCGGGAAGGGAGGGAGGAAGGCAAGGCACAGGCAGGAGGGCACGGGCAAGAGAACACCTGAGCAGGAGGACCACTGCGTTCGTTGGACCACTGCCGGTGCGTGGGTCCACCAAGATGGCGGGGGGCCCGCCCCACGAAGCTCCGCCGTGCCCGAAGGCCTCCGGGCCGCATCGCCAGGGCGTCGGGTAATGATGTGGCCTCGAATCGTGGAGCTCTTGGAAACTCCAAGGCGGGGGGGCCCTTCCGGGGGGGCGGCACTTTCGGGGTGCCCCTTCCCGTGGGGCTCCAGGCCCACCCGCGGCTGCTGCTGCTGCTGCTGCTCCGACTCTTCGGCCGCCGCTGGTGCCGTCTGCTGCTGCTGCTGCTCCTCCTCCTCCTCCTCCTCCTGCTCCTCCTCCCCCTTCTCCTTCTCCTCCTCCTCCTCCTCCTCCTCCTCTTGCTCCTCCTCCTCCTCCTCCTCCCCTCCTCCACCGTCCCCTCTCCTCCTCGTCCTCCTCCTTCCTCCTCCTCCTCCTCCTCGTCGGCATTGCCCACCAGGCAGGCAAGTTTGGTTTGTTAGAATTCAAGAGAAAATTTCCCGACCCGCCGCGTCCGCCCTGCATACCGCAGACTTCAGGCCCCAGAGATCCCCGAGAGTCCGAAGATGGCAAAATGATGAGGCAGGACAAGCAGAAATAACAGACAACCTTACCAAGGAGGCGTCACGGCATCACGATGTCAGGCCGTCCACAGACATCTAGCACACACAGGAAGAGCATGTATCAATAACATGCAGCATTAGCGGACATCGGTACCAAAACAACTACTAACGCACATGACAGGCATCAGTAGCGGACATGGCGCCAAGAGCAGGCACCGATAACACACAAACATCAAGCATACATCAAGCATATGAACACGTACATCAATACCTTACGTGGGGAACGCACACCAATGACAATGACACCAATGGCATACATCAAACACATACATCGATCACGTCCGCCCGTGAAAGACTTCAATACCCTACAACGAGGACGTACCATCGACGCGTACTCACAAAATACACCAAGCACCTACGTGCACAGCATACATCAAGCTCGTACACCAACACCACACATCAAACGTGAGCACCAATACATGCCCATCAATGGCATACTTCAGCAAGACATGTACACATCGAACATTAACAATACTTTCTTGCGTCGGCGGCTAGGTTGAGTAACTGCGCTGGCGATGAGCTACACCAACACACACACACAACAATTGCAATACACGCATAGCACCATATACCAATACCATACACCGCAAAGAACAGCATCAGCTACATACACCAACACCACTCACAGCAATCACACACCAGACGAATCCACATCCCTAACACATATTCGCACCTCTGTCGCACACCATGAACACGCACTAATACCATACATCGTCACCATGCGTGACACACATGCATGAAATACACACGTCAACAACACAACACACATACCATACACCAAACAGAGATACTAACCGCGTACATCACTAACACGTACCATCGCACCACCAACACTCATCTGTACACACACCAATACCACGCATCACGTATATACACAACGGGCTCACGTAGACTACACGAGCCCCCCGACCATGTTAGGAAGATAAGCGATTATCAGGCATGATGAACATACTCCGATCATACACATCAAACACATAAGGAACACCAAGCATCAATAACAACGTTTCAGTGACTCCCAGGCGGCTCCTTTCTTATTTTGTTGTCATTTCCAACAGCCTCTCGGCTGGCCAGAGAACATTCGGGGTAGAACAATAGTGGACGCCAGGTGGTCTGTCGAAGCCCCGCGTCCACTTGAGAATTCCAGATGGACGGAGGGTGCTCTGATTATTCCCCCCAGGCACGAGCAACCGATTTCCACCCTCCGACTGCGACACTCGATGCCCTGCCGACCTTGCTCCCACTGCGCCGCCACGAACTCAGTGAGCCAGCGCATACCAGCGTCGACTCTCGCGAATGCCTTGAAGTACACACACAAGAGAACTGCGCCGAAGACCGCCGAACGTTGCAGCATGCCTTCGTTCGGGAAGGATGCCAGAGCGACATCCAGGCGTATCAAACATGTAGCATGAGATGCAACTGTACGTACTAAGTTTCGCATCGCCGCTGTGATGAGGAATGTGGTAGTCAGCGGATGCGTGCATGTGGTAGCATGTCGCAGGAACATCGACCAGGCATGAACAACGACACTCTGGGCAAGCAATCGACATTAAATTCATGAAACGTTTAGCACGCGGCAGTGTGTCCACCGCGAACAAGCACCATGAAGGATAAGCCGCCAAAGTGCACACCATGAAGGGAGCTGTGGCCAGAACATATGCCAACACAAAAAAAATGCAAGCAGTGGCCGACGGCGAGTACATGCCGAGTATAGACCACTGATTGCTGCCGCTCCCACTCGGAGGGGTACAAGTAGCCAAGGCCTCCCCTTCTGTGATCAATTCTCTGCCTTGCTTTAAGGACGGGGTGAAGCGAAATTCGAGGCATTCTGGTCACAGGCGCAACATTAAAGCCGAAAATCGAACCCTTCCCACCTGGAGGAAACCTGGCATCCACCGTTGCGAAGTAGGCCGCGTCCGCGACTATGTTCACGAAGAATAATAGAACATACACCTGCGCACTGCGCCTTTCATGAGCTGTGTATATCCTATTGCTGACTCGCCAGGGATGCAACACTGCTACTTTCAAACTGAAGCTGACCAGTGTTCCGTACGAAATCCATACTGCAACTGAGCTTTTGCACAATCTGGCGTCATTCAACAAGCAACCATGCACAGCCCCAACTGCTACACGCAACAATTTGATCTATACGAAGCGGACTACGTCAAAGCATGGCCAGCGTGCGTCATGCATTGCATGACAACGCGTACTTCAAATGATGCGCACATGCACGCAAACCCGCTGTGAATACATACTGAGAAACACAATGCAAGACCCGCTGAACCAAAGGGACACGAGCGTTTTAGACGTGGGCGGCACTGGGACGGACAGTACTTTGCACCGGATGCGAGCTGCTCTTGGATGCTGCTGGCTCTGCTGTCGCTGGCTCTCTGGATGCCTTCAGAACATCTTGGGGCTTCCTGGATTGTCTTCTGCGCCTCCTGAGGGCCTCTGGGGACATTAGCGCCACTCTCAGGGCCTCGGGGCGTTTCTTGGGGTCCTTCTGGGCTGTCGTTTGGACCTCTTGGGGTCCGCTCTCTGGGGACTCTTTGAGACCGTCTTGGGCTCTCTTGGGCCCCTCCAGGTCCCCTCGCCGAAATCTCCGCGCATTGTTGCGTCAACCCAGTCAAGCGGCGCCATTTTCTTTTTGGGGCTGTCCAAGGTGGCTGCGAGCCTATCCAGCGCTCTGGCCAGCCAACAAGCCAGTCCCAAATTGCCTCAAGAGCGCTCTGGTCTGCCAAATTGGGCTCTCAAATGGCAAAATCTACCCGTAAACCACCAATTCCAAAGTAATCGTTAAGAGGCCTCCGATTGTCCCTGGGAGGCTACGACCAGTGAAGCACCTTAGTTTATTCGATGCTTTTGATTGTATGTGGAACCCCACCATCGTATTTCAAGCACGTATTGGATTGCACCGAGGCTCATACATATGTGAACTTCTGAAGGGATGTGTGATTCTTGAGTTACAAGCCTGGGCTACCAATTTGCCCTGTCAGAACTCTTGGGAGCTCCTGTGCGTTTCCGGCGCGGGCCTTTGAGAAGCCCAACCTGCCTTCAACGCCCTCCCAGAGCCTTCCAAGACATTTTGAAAAACGCTCAGCAAACCGTGGTACCCCGACGGGACGTCGTGGGGATCTCGTGGGGCCCCCTCGCCCGTCTTGGGAGCCCCAGGGGTTGGCCCAAGAGACACTTTGCGTCCTTTTGGCGTACTCGCTTCTGTCTGCCTTCAGGGCGTCCAAGACAGCCTGAAAGACCCCCTGGACCCGTTCAAGCGGGCCTCCGATGCTCACAAGAAGAGACCAAGAGGCTGCCCAGAGGCCTCAAAGAGAAGGAACCCCAACTACAACTCAGAGCCTGTACCAGGGGAGAAAGGCCCCTCCCAAAACACTTCTATCATCGGCAACGCCGGCGGACGCAAGCGGGAGTGTCGGTACCGGCGGGGCGCGCTGGGCACGAGGCGCGGAACACGAGTGGAAAAGACGACCGCGGCCGCAGATCCCCTCCGCTTGACCGCCCCCGCGTCCCCGCCAGCAGGAGCGCCCGCAGCAGCGCCCCCGGCGCCACGTCGAGCCGGCCGAGGAGCAGCGGGAGCTCCCCCGAGCCCGCCTGGCAGAGTGGAGGGCGGGGGGGGAGTCCTCCTCCAACGCCTCCTCCCCCCTCCTCCTCCGCCTCCTCCTCCTCCTCCTCCTCCTCCTCCTCCTCCTCCTCCTCCTCCCGTCCTCCTCCTGCTCCTGCTGCTCCTCCTCTTCCTCCTCCTCCTCCGCCTCCATCCTGTCTCCTGATAGAAAACCATTGGAAGTCTTTGGTCTTGCTGGCCCCCCCAGACAACTCTTGGCCGGCAATCGACTCTGCGCGTCTTCCTGTTCGCCATTTTCCTTCTCCTCCTCCTCTTTTTCCTCCTCCCCTTCTCCTCTTCCTCCGCGATGGCGGCGGCGGAATAGTCATTCGCCGAATGTTGTCGGGTGTCGGCAGCCTGCAATTAGCCCGAGGGAAACATGTGTTGCTCTTTAACTATTGGGGGGCTATTCAAGATCTATTGAAATGAACTCCCCCCTCTCGCACCCCCAGACTAGTAGGCAAGGCGGGCGGGACAGTTCGTCTGAGACTTTCTCACCACTTGGAATTTAAAATTGGGCTCGCGCCTGTAGCGCCGCACGCATTCGCAATACACTTTTGCAACATCTGCAAGGATAGAGGGCGGGCAGTTGTTTCCAATGCGGCTCTCGCTTTATCGCCGCGTCCACTCGCCCGAAATTATGCAGTGGGTGCAGGGATGGGGCACTGGTGATTCTCAAGATGGGGCTCTTGCCCTGCCGCCGCGCACATTCGCCGTTCACTCGTGCGACAGCTCCAAGGATGAGGAGCGGCCCCTCTCCAAAGAGGGGCTCTCCCCGTCGCCCCGCGCACGATTTGTCTTCGACGTGTTCAGCAGTTGCAAGAATGTGCGAATACTCATTCTCAAAATGGGACTCTCGCCTCAGGTTCTCTGAAACTCCTCAGACAGATCCGACGCTTCAACACATGTAGCTGCTGCATGTAATGAGCGCGATTCCTTTTCCAAGTAGGGCTGTCAATTGAGATTTCCTCGATGCTCATGGGTGTAAGCTTGCGCAACAATTTCACGGATGGGGAGGGCGGTCCTCTTTCAAAACGGGGAGCTCGCTGGACACCTGGTTGAAATGCCTTTGTCGCATGCCTGCTTACGCGATCGAAGGATACAAGGGAGTTCCTTTTCAAAAGGGGGCTCTGGCCCGAGTGGAAGGCTCGTGTGGTGCTGGTCTTGCAGGGGGGCGTCTCCTGGTGGTGAAGAAGGACAGCGCGCATCCGGAGGTGACCTGGGACGGGTTATGTGTATCGCGGCGTTGCGGCCCACCCCCCTGGGACGGGTATGTGTGTATCGCGGCGTTGCGGCCCACCCCCCTGGGACGGGTATGTGTGTATCGCGGCGTTGCGGCCCACCCCCCCCTGGGACGGGTAGGTGTACCGCGGCGTTGCGGCCCACCCCCCTGGGACGGGTATGTGTATCGCGGCGTTGCGGCTCACCCCCCTGGGACGGGTAGGTGTATCGCGGCGTTGCGGCCCACCCCCCTGGGACGGGTATGTGTGTATCGCGGCGTTGCGGCCCACCCCCCCCTGGGACGGGTAGGTGCGGCGTTGCGGCACCCCCCTGGGACGGGTAGGTGTATCGCGGCGTTGCGGCCCCCCCCCCTGGGACGGGTATGTGTGTATCGCGGCGTTGCGGCCCACCCCTCCTGGGGACGGGTATGTGTACCGCGGCGTTGCGCCCCCCCCCCCCCCCCCCTATTTCGCCCTCCCCGATCCTCCCTCCTTCGCGCTCTGCGGTGTCTGCCTCGCGCTCCCTCCGTGCGGCTGCGGGGCGCCCGCGTCGGCTCCCCCGGCTGGTGCGGCTTTGGGAAGCTCGAGGGCAAGGCGACGGACTGCGCGGAGGGCGACGAGCGAGGTACGCAATGAAGGGGCATTCTCGAGTCGGGAAACTGCATCGACATTGAAACTCAGCCGTATCTTTTCGAAATCGGGGCTAAATCAGCAATCGCCACATCGGCTCGGTAACTCTGCACATGCGATTTGAATGGGGTAGAACCAAATCGATCGAATCGAAACTGGTCCTGGGCATGTCGTGCGCAGAGGAGGGGGCGCAATGCAGCTGCAACACTATACGCGTATGATGTGCAAACACTATTCGGCAAAGCGACGGACATGGGCGCCCGCGCGAACCATATGCAAGCACGCGCGGGCATACCTTCAGACATTGGCGCAAGCCACGGGCATCGGCAGAAACACGAGCCTACGCACAAACACGGTCAGCGCAAGCACACGCTGTCCTCCCTCTCCTGCTCTCCTGGTGCGCGCGGGCGCCTTCCGCAGCTTCTGCGGTAGTGCGCCGTAGTGCTCGTCGACCGCGGTCGGATTCAGGCCCTGCGTCTCGACGTCGGCTTCCCTGCGCCCACCGGACAAATCAGCAGCCCGTTGCCCGACTGTCTTCTGCAGGCATGGGGGTTCCTTTCTCGATCTCTATCCCTCTCTCTCTCTCTCTTGTTCGAACCCTTCCCGAACACGTTGAAGGGGGGAGGAGGAGGAGGAGGAGGAGGAGGAGGAGGAGGAGGAGGAGGAGGAGGAGGAGGAGGAGGAGGAGGAGGAGGAGGAGGAGGAGGAGGAGGAGGAGGAGGAGGGAGGAGGGATTCGCATCAGCAGGACGGATGAGAGGAGCAGGAACAGGAGCAGGGGGATAGAGCAGCAACCCTTGAGGATGGGCGGAAAAGACGGGAGACCATACGGGAAGCGAAAACGCACGGAATCACATACAGGAGAGCCTACGGAAACCTATACGGGAGCCCATGCAGGAAACAACGTGCGGGAGAGCACAGTCACGGGACGTGCGGGACAGCATGCAAAAACCACACGAAAAACCACCGGCCACCGAGTCCAGATCAGGAGAGGCTCACACCCGCCGGCCCGAGAAACATGATGCACGACACCTGCAGACTCGGCTACACGCAAGAGTGACCCTGGGTAAGAGTGACCTTTGGTGCGCGGTTTTTTGGGGGCCGCGGGGGGACCAAACCTGGGCGCGCAAGCCGCTGCTCCTGCTTCGTTTTCAGCCATCTGGGGACCCATCTGTGCCTGCACCAAACAAAGGTCACTCTGGCGAAAGGTCACTCTTACGTCCAGTCGACAGACCAGCTGCCCAGGGAGCTGGCAGACACGAGCACCCGGGCATCCTGCCGCCGCGTCGTGCTCCTCTCGCGAGGCCTCTGCAGGTCTGGGCCCCTCCCCTCCCGAGCTCGTCCCTGGCGCTCTGGCGAGCACTCTGGGGGCGCGCCCGGCCGTGGCGCCCATCCCCGCCTGCCGAGGCAAGTGGGGGCCCAGGACAGGCCAGCTGCGCCCAACGTCTAGATCTTCGATGTTCACTTCCAGCACATCTGGCGGCCCGACTTCTTCGAGCAGTGGACCACTGGAGTTCCCGGCCCCTTCCCCGAGGCCGATGAATCAATCTAGCTGATTTCTGATCGTCCAGAGGCCCGAAGTTAGCCTCCAAACGCCCCCAACCCCGATGAGTTAAAAAACCAAACGATCAGTTCGAGCACGTAGTGTAGATGGCTGGATCTCTCCTCGCCCGCTGGGCTGAGGAGGGCCAATACCGCTCGCAAAGGCCTCGATCCTCGAAGCTCACACCCTCTCCTCTACCTCGCCTTGCCCTCCCCGCTCAAGAGGGCCCAAAAGCAATCACAAACCTCGTTCCTTCCTCTCCCCTCCTGTCGGGGGGGTTCAACAGGGGATTAGCGAATCAGCGCGCGTAACAAGTTTTCTGGGCGCCGGGAGGCGCCCACATGTCGGGGAGGGCGTCCTGCGGCAGGGCTGAAACTGGCTGCATCCCGCATATTTCGCACCCCCCCCCCCTCCTTCCCCCATCCCCCCCCCCCCCCCCCCGTTTGTCGGACCCGAGCCTCGCCCTCTGGGCTCGGGGAGGGCGGGGGGAGGCAGACGGCGACCTGGGGGGGGTAGGACGAGAGCGATGTCATGGTGCGGACACTTTCCAAAACTCCTGGAGCATCTGGCGGCCATCGTTCCCAGAGCCCGTCCGCGCGGAAAAGTCGGAAGTCTGAGAACGTCTTGAAAATGTTGGAACGTATAAGAATCTTCGGGAAATCCAGGAAATCTCGAATCCGGAAAACCGCGGGAAACCTGGGTATCTGCCTGGGAAATTCTGGCCATCTCGGAGCGCATCACGACCCGTGTTTCATACCGAATCGCTCTTTGACGGTCTCGATGCCCGGTGAAGGCCCCCAGAGGCCGACAGCGGCGAAACACCTCCCGTCGTGACTTTTTCACAACGCGAGGGGGTCTGGGTCATGACCTCCGCCGTCCTGCGGGGGCCGCTGTCCCTGGGGCGCGCAGACTGGAAGAACATGGGCTCGTCGTCGTCGTCGTCCTCGTCGTCGTCGTCGTCGTCGTCCTCCTCCTCCTCCTCCTCCTCCTCCTGCGCTCGCGCCCATCGGACAAGTTCGAGTTGCTCGCCTACACTTTGACTGCTGCTACTGCTACTACTACTACTACTACTGCTGCAACTTCCACCCCCGCTGCTACTGCGAGAGCGGGACGGCCTGGCTGGAGCCGCAGGCAGTCCTGCGGATGCTCGTAGCCGACGTACGCGGGCGCAAAACACGACGAATGGAAGATCGGAGCTGTGGGATCAGAGCACGGGCGGCCTCGGACGAACGCGGATGAGGACAGGGATGGGCGAGATTGAAAAGGTAAAAGGCGGCAGCTGTGATGGGCAGCGAATTGGGAGAGGGGTTCACAAGACCTAATCTTTCAATGGGGTCGTCTGGTAACGGGTGGCCCTGAAGCTCAACCAATATACCCCAAAATCTAGGACATGTGAGATAATGGGCTTGCGAGTCAACACAATTCAGACAATTAAACATACACTGGCGACTCTGTTGGAACCGACTGTCCGTTGCCCAGGCACCCGCAAACGTTTTTATGATAGCCCGCCGCCACGCTGGCGGGCACTGTAAAGTAGCATTCTGCACAGCAGTCCAGTCGACGCCTCTGATGCGGACGGGAGGCGCACGAGGGGGGAGGTGGAGCAGGCGGGGCGCGAAGGAGGGGGTGAGGGAGGGAGGGAACAGAGAGGAAACAATCACATTATAGGCTGCTCGCTGGGGCTTCTTCGAACCTGAAGCTTGGCAATCAAGAGCGGCCTGTGCTGCGCGAGCTCCGATCGGAGCTAGCTTCGGGTCTGAAACGAAACCGCGGTACGCGTCGGCAAGAGTGTCTGCAATCGGAGGCTCGGCCCAAAAGGATGGGCTCCTTCTGTGGCGCCCAACATCTTCCAAGGAGAGGTGCACTCCAGCCTCCGAGAGGACCTCAACGCAACTGCGCCAGGCAGAGAACGCGCTGATTGACGATCGAATTAGAGACGCGAGACCGATAGCAAAAATACTTCGAAGCTTGGGGCCACCCCAGCTTTCAAGAGAAAAGAAAGCTTGTCGAGAAAAAGAGCAGTGGGGCCTTTTAAAAAACAGAGCCGCAAAGATGGCGTGTTCACAAGGGAGAACAGACTTTGGGGTCCGAAAGAACTGGGCGACATATCCCAAACATGACACAGCGCGGTTGTCGTGCATCGCCGCGGCAACCGAAGAAGGCGTGCCAGCTCGGGAGATTTGGCCGGCCCTCAGGGGCCATTTCGCGACGGTGGCGTCCCAGGAAGACGGCGCGGCCGAGGGGCCCAGAAAAATCCCGAGGTACAAAAGCTTGGGCGCCACCTGAGATTCGCGCCATTCTGGAATATTGACCTGAACCCAGGTCTTGTATGCTGCGATCACATCTGGGGTGCATTCACCTACTAGGGGTACTAGTTTACACTTTGGGAGCTTCAGAACAAGATTGGCCACCCGTTTCGACGCCCGAAAGACAGAATGTAAATATCTAAGATGTTTGATCTGCTTAATTACACTACCTACACCATCAGCACAAAGTCGAGCTAGTCCGTGTCCACGTTTTTCTATCAACCAGTCGAAGTGAGCAGCGAAGGCGTGCGAAGCGACAGCGTAGAGAGCACCACTAGCGGGACAGCCCTGGATAATACCTGACTCGATCATGGACATAAAGATAACGGTGAACCCGATCTGACCCCAGCACGAGACTTCGGAATACATCGTTTCCAGGAACGCGTGCAGAGGCGGCGGCAGGCTGAGCGTGCGCAGCATCAGGAAGATCCTGTGCTGTGAGACCGAAGGGAAGGCCTGCCCGTAGTCGAACGCCAGTAGAGCAGGCATACGTGCCAGTGCTTCTGGCATCGTGGATGCGACCCGAGCATGTGTATCGAGTTCGATAATGTTGTCCCCGAAGTTGCGGGAAGGGATAAAGCCCCGTTGGGACCCATGAATACATGGCGGCAGTTTGAAAGTGAGCGGCCTGATACACACCGATGTCAAAATCTTGCAGTCCGCGCTTTTCAAGCCCAAGGGTCTGGTTCCGCTCGGGTCACGGATCGCAACCTCTGAGTCCTCGGGCTCGTCGCCCTTGACCAAGAAGGCCCCCTTCAAGATGTTAAAGCCGAAGAGAGGGGGATTGCCAGCCAACATCCAATCCAGAAGCTCCGAGAGGACCTTGGGGCCCGAGGGGTGGCGCTTCCAGGCTCCATAGGGGAGCTCATCAGGGCCGGGGGCGCTGGGGGTGACTCTGGCGAGGAAGCGGGAAATGTCACTTTCCGTTGGCGGTGGCAGTCCACTCAGGTCAACCTCTGGCTTAAACCTCTCGGCGCGCGCGAACGCCGCGGTCTTGTCGACCTCCTTCTTAGCAAAAACCGGCCCCCAATGCCGAGCAAGCCCGTGAAGAATACTGGAGGAATCTGAAACAATATGATTGGGACCAAGCCTTAGTCCGCGGAGCTGCAACTTGCGGTCGAACGGGGACCAGAGTTTGCAACGCACCTGGAGACTACGCATCTGACGGGCCATCTTGGCCCTGACTTTTGCAGGCAGGTCCTCGTCCAGAAGTGTGTGTGTGTGTGTGTGTGTGTGTGTGTGTGTGTGTGTGTGTGTGTGTGTGTGTGTGTGTGTGTGTGTGTGTGTGTGTGTGTGTGTGTGTGTTGTTTTTTTTTTTTTTTTTTTTTTTTTTTTTTTTTTTTTTTTTTTTTTTTTTTTTTTTTTTTTTTTTTTTTTTTTTTTTTTTTTTTTTTTTTTTTTTTTTTCTTCCCCCCCCCCCCCGTTTCTTTCTTTGTTTTGTTTGCGGGCCTCGGCTCTGGCGGCGTTGAACATAGCGAGGTGCGCCTCGTCGGAAGCGGCCTTGAAACTCACGGGGTCGACCGCCGTGACCATGTGCGCGCGCGCATCGACCGGCGCAAACTGCTTGCCGAAGGGGTGGGAGTACATTATCTCATCGGCCAAAACGAAATCGTGATTCCATACGGCTCGAGCGATAGTACGACATGCTAGATATCGAGCGAGAGGGTCAAGATGTTTTCCTCGGAGAATAGCGTTTCGGGCAAATCTGGCGGCCTCGAACATCAGGTTTTTATGAAATTCAACTCGAAGAGGGGGCGATAAATCAGAATCGTCGACTTCTTGTGATACCTTAGCGATGAACCTGGAATGCTCTGGCCTTTTGAAAATATCCCGGTGTATCTTCTGCTCATGCGGCTTGACTGCCACTCGGGCTGAAAACGTGGCACTGATGGCGGCGTGGTCGGAGATGCGCGTCCTAGCAAGCACCTCAGGGTAGCCGTGGACGCGGGCACCTGTGCACATCTGGGTAATGCACCATCCAGGTGCTGAAGCAAAAATCCGATCCAACTTCCCAAGAGTCCCCTGTGCTGCACAGAAGTGGGCAGGGTCGGAAACGTCGATCTCAACGAGCTGTCCCAAGACGGTTCTCCAGGGCCCTCCAGAGCGAGAGGGGCACGGCTGGGGGCCGAAGGGGAACGCGGAGAGAGGTCATGCAGCACTCTGGGGGCCTCATCTGGGAAGTTGAAACCGCCACCCACGAACGCGAAGCTTTTGGTGGGGTCCTTGGACGCCTCAGGGATGTCCTGGGAGATAGCCTCTAGGATCTTCTGCCTCTGAGAAGTACTGAGCTCATGGCTGTGAATGTTGAAATGGGAAATCCAGACACCTCCTGGAAACAAAACTCGAACATTCAGAGCACGGGCGGGGGCTAACTCGATCGGCATTATCGTCGGCTGTCGCTGACAGCCGTGCGCCCTGTTAAAGTCGGGGAGGAAGGTGACCGCCCCGCCGGCAGGATGAGGAGACGGAGGGCGGAGCGAGAAGAAAGCCTGGACAAGACGATGTCGATGGCGCAGCAGATCTCTGATTTCAGCCTCGGTACCGCGGGGCTCCTGGATCCCCCAAATCGAGCCTGACCCCGACAAGGATCTGATGTATTTGCTCTTCCGGGTTCTAACCTGCGGCCTGTAGTGAAACAGCGATTGTGCATTCCAGGTCCCCACCGCCAGAGAAGTAGGGCCCGGGGAGGAGCTGCTCCACGCCGCGAAGAGCGGGTTACACCTGCCACGCAATGGGCTCAGGCGGCCTGAGGATCTCGGCCAGGGCCTCTTCGATGTCCGCCTTGATGAGCTGGAAGGCTGCCAGGTTCTCAGCTGCACACTCGATCTGCGGGAGCTCATCGCCAGCACGCGGAACACCACGAACGAGAGTTTTCCATTGGAGCGATACCTCGCCCTTGGCCTTGTTGATGTGGAAATGATGCTGTGGATGCAGCGAGGAAAGTGTACGTTTGATCTGCTTGGCGAGGATCTCTCGCTTGACCTGGGCGGGGCTCTTGTCGGCGGACACGTGGCACTCGCGCTGCACTCCCATAGCGTCGGTGGTCGAGAACGTCTGCCACTGCTGCGCACTGACCTTGAAAACTGCCGATGATCTGGTTGATCTTGCGCGCGGCGAAGTTCCTCGGACCTTGAACTCGGAGCGTGAAGCGTTTGCCGCCGGGCTCGCCCTCCAGCACAGCGTCCGTCTCCGCCATGTTGTTCTTCGCCAGGATTGGGGCCACGACAGACTGCTGCACAGCAGACTTGGACGCGTAGTTCTTCGACCGAATGACCAAGATGGTGGGGTCGGGAGCTCTGCCGAACGACGGTGATGCAACTTCTTCCGCAACCTCAGGGCGTTCTGTCTGCATGAGGCCGAGCAGTTCTTCCAAGTGCTTGACTTTTGCGGCCAGCAGGTCGACCTTGGTGTTGGTGGCCTTCTGCTCCTTGTCCACACCTGAGAGCCGAACTTCAACTTGTTTAGATAATTTGCCACAGGTATCCTTGACCGTATTCGCCAAGGAGCCGATGGAGGTCTGGATGGAGTTGATGGACGCCAGCAGCTCGTCACGGGTAGTGTCGACATAGGCTTTGAGGTCCATGTCTGGGTCCTGGAATTCAGAGCTGCGGGACCTGCTTCGACCATCCTCACGGCGCTGGGGGTCACGCCACCTGCCGCGGGCGCCGCGTTCAGCCTGAGGAGAAGCTGAACCACCAGTACCAGCACGAGGTTGCGATGGGAAAGTAGGTGCTGCCTCCAGCATGGCGGCCAACGCTTGGCGTTCTGCTTCGGAAACAGGGACACCGCCATCAGCATGCATTTCTTCGCTAATACTAGGTATGAGCACCCACAGCAATTGAACGCGGAAGCAGGAATGGAGCGTGCTTTGGCGCACGTCTGTTGCGTGCGACGACTGACCTCGGGAAGGTTCGGGCCTCCCCGTCGGCTTCGATCAAGGATCTAACCCCAGGGGGCAGGTTAGAGCCTTGAGCCAAAATGGCATGAGCCAAAATGGCTACGGACGTCCTCCTCCTCCTCCTCCTCCTCCTCTCCTCCTCCGCTCCTCTGAGGGGTTGTGGGGGCTGCGCCGTCCTCGCCACCTCGTGGACGGCGCTCTCCTGCCGGCGCCGCGTCGGCAGCCCCTTCCTCCCCCCTGGGCGAGAGGGCTGGGGAGGAGGGCGAGGAGGACGCGCCGACAGGAGACGTCAGGAGATGCGAGAAGCCAGCTCCTGGAGGAGGAGGAGCAGGAGGAGGAGGAGGAGGAGATGTAGAGTTCTTAGAAGAAGGCACACTAGAAGAAGGACACGCCGGAAGGAAAATACGCCCACGCCAGGATCAGGAGGCCACGCCAGAAGGATGAGGATATAGGAGATGTCAGGAGGCAACTCCTGGGAGGTCTTCGAGAGAGCGATCGCAAGGACTATCAAGTCCGACCAAAGGGCCACCAGCGCGGCTAAAACCAACTTAAACCCAAACTTAAGCGGGATCAGGCTGGGGTAAGTACCGTCTTCGACCGAGGGCATACCAGCGACGATGCTGACCTTAACCTCCCAAGAGTTGCAATCGAGGAGGAGGGGGCCGATGAAGGCAACAGTTTGCGGTCGTTATTGCAATAGTAGTTCGGCCTCTTGGGGTATCCATCGACAAGACGTATGAAGAGGAGATGGAGGAAGACCCGAATCAACTCTGTATGCATCAACAATGCTGCAATACACCCTACTGTCCCCAAAATCTCTTTTCTCATGAGTCCCTCCAAACATCCCTCCGCGTGACAAGAAATCGCCACCCATTTTGAGGTCTAAGAGAGTTCAAGGCCATGTTCAGTGAGAGCCTCGTTTTAACAAGGAACAGCCCTCCACCTACGTACCAACTTCAGTCTTTTTTCTTGTCGCCATGCGTTTTCACATTGAATGCCATGCAGTGCGAGTGAATTTGCCGGTCTCCGCCCAAGGCTTCCGAAGATTATGGTAAAACATCCCATCGCCTTCCAGGGCGAACGGATGATTTCTCAGGTCGCCTGAAGTGGCGATTTCGCATGGGACGTCCTCCAACAACAAACTCTCCAGTCCCGTTTCATGTCGCCAGGTAGTGCCAGTGTTGCTCAGGGTCTCCTGAAGCACACACTTCTGCTCCCATTCCATGCCGCCAGGAAATGTAGATTTCGCCTGCGGACCGTTTGAAGATCGGGGATCGATGGAGAGTCGAATAACCCGGATAGAAGATCCAGGACCGATCAACGGTCATAGATCGAGTGTCGATCGAAAAACAAAGATCCAAGGGAATGCTGATCTGGACTTTTTAAATCCAATGGCTGGGTGGTGATCCGTCAACGAGCATCGTCGTCGCCCCGAGGTCTGGTCTTCGAGGGTCCTCTCATCTGAGGCCTCTTGAAGTCTCTGCAGGTCCCCAGAGGTTTGATGGAGGTGCCTGGCCCCTGGGGCCAAAGAGCATTCAAAACCTCGAGGCCTCCCCATGGCCATCCCCTCGCTTTCCTTCATACCAACGGGCACGCAGACCTTTTCAATCCATTGCCTTCCTGATCAATGGGCCAGCCACCTCGAAGGCTGTGTAGTCCGCCAATAACCTCGATCGTCGCGTCGCTACCTGCATCAACGCGGCACACACGACGATGTGTTGTTTCAGTGCGCCCGGGGCGCCCGAGGATGGCCCCAACGCCTTTGATTTGTTCCACACGCGGTCCCCGTAATTAAGCGCCGACCCTCTCCCTGGGGCCAGCCTTCCGCCCCGGCCGAGGGCCCCCCGAGGTCGACAACCAGGAACAGAAAGCACCCGGCCTGGTTCTGTCCACGCGCTGGAGGTCTGGGGACGGCGACTGCGGCTGCGGGAGGCGGCGGCGGGAGCTTTGTCGGTGGTTCAAGGCTCCGGTCCTGAGGGATGGGGTCCCGAGGCCGAGGTGCCTCAAACAACGTAGATCCACCCTTGGATCCCTTCCTATCCTTGAATGCCCATCCCTTAGGACCCCATCTTTGAACTCGGAGATCTACTGACCTGGATTAATTCAGACCCGGGCTAACCAGGCCTTGCAAGATCCCGCAAGATCCTGCAGGATCGTGCAGCATCCTGCAACCAAGCCCGGGTCAGTGCGCCACTGGCTCTGCAGGATCCCAGAAGATCATGCAGGATCCTGCAGGATCCTGCGCCGCCTGGCCCTGCAGGATGCCGCAAGATCCGGCGCTCTGACTGCCCCCCGTTTGCATTGACCCCCGTCCCTTGAGCCCCGAACGAGCGAACGAACGAACGACCACCACTGCGGGGACTCCGTCCTGGCCTAGCTACGACCAGGTGGGCCAGGCCGTGGCCTCAGAATCTGGTGTGTCTGAACAACATGGAATGCGAGATGCAGAAGACTTAATCGAGGAGGAAAGGGGGGAGAGGTCCCTTCAGCGCCGAGGAACCACCGAAGTTGGCGGCCCCGTCCTCCTGAGGTATCGCGTCTTCGCCGCCGCGCCGGCGGCGCGAGCAGGCCGCGAAGGGCATCGGCGTCTTCTCCCGGGGGTGGGATGAGGCCGCCGGCCAGGGGAAAGGGCCTCGGGTGGCGAGGGCGGGGGGGGGCGGCCGGGGGGGGTGGCGGCGGCCGCCGGGGATCCTTCTACTCCTGCTACTCCTCCTTTTCCTGCGTTTCCTCCTCCTCCTCCTCCTCCTCCTCCTCCGTCTGCTCCTCCGTTTGTTCCTCCTCCTCCTTCTCGTCCTCCGCCTCTTCCTTCCCCGTCTCTTCCTCATCCGTCTACACCTTCTCCTCCTCCTGTGTCTCCTCCTCATGTTTTCTTAGCACGCCGCTGGGCGGACACGAGCGCTCATGGCGCTAGACTCCTCCTCTTCCTCCTCCTCCTTCTCCGCTTGCCCCAGTCCTTGTCGTTATGAATAACTCCTCCTGCTCGCACCCCGAGGCCAGTCGGAAGGGCGGGCCAGGCGTTTCGTCTGAGACTTCCTTACGGTCGCCTGAAGCCTAACAAACTAGCAACAGTTTCACAGATGGACGGCGGGTGGTTTTCAAAATGTGACTCTCGCCTTGAGGCCGCGCGCATGAGTTTCAAACATTTGCAAGAGCTCCACGGATTGAGCGCGGGCCGTTTTCAAACTGTGGTTCTCGCCTTATCGCAACGCACATTCGTTTAAACAAAATGCAAGGGTTCCACGGAATGAGGGCGGCTCCTTTTCAATGTGTGGTTCTCGCCTCAGCGCCGCGCACATTCGCTTCAAACGCTTGCAAGAGGTTATCGGCTAGCGTCTCAGAAATCCTCCCAGCCCTCTGGGCGTATGTGGTGTAACGATATTATATATTTCCTTTTTCCAAATCCCCTCTTATCCTTCGGGGAGGGGTTTACCCCTCCCCCTGCCCCCTCCCCTGGACTTTTTTTGTGGGGTTCGCGGGTCCTTGGAGGGCCTTTTTTTCGGCCCCTGGAAAAAAGGGCGAATTTTTGACATCCCTCACGAGGATCGTGGCCCCCGAGGGTAGGGCCTCTATCGGGAGCTTCCCTCCTTTGATCGATAACCTCGAAGATGGCCCCAAGAAGCGCTCCAGGGCTCCCAAGAGAGCCCCCAAAAAAACCCAAGAGGGCTCCAAGAGGGCCCCAAGAGGGCCCAGAGAGGCACCCGAGTGGCCCCCAAGAGACCCCCGAGCGGCCTCAGAGAGCCCAAGATGCCCTCCAAGATGACCCAGATAGTCCAAACTGGCCCAATATGGCTCCCAAGATGCCCCAAACGGCCCCAAGACCGCTCCAAGAGCGTTCCAAGAGAGCCCAAAGAAGCAGGTTGCCGGCTCCTGATGGGGGAGCTGAGTTGGACCCCCCCCATCCAGCAATCGATGGTCTCCAGGATGATCCCAAAAAACTTTCCAGGATTACCAATCGGGTTCCAAGGGGGCCCCCCAAACTCCCAGAAAACACCAGCAGCAGCAGCCTAGTCCTCGTCTTCGTCCTCTACGTCCTCATCCGCGTCCTCCTATTCCTCTTCGTTCTCGTCCTCTTCCTGCTTCTCGTTTCCCCTCGCCCTCTCGGGTCACCCTGGTTGCTCGCTTTGTTTCCCTAGAGGTGTCTGTTCGTCCCTTTTCCCGTCAGCTCTCATGGGCAGGGCTTCTGAATGGGTTGGTGGGAATACTTTTTGGTTTGCGGGCTCGCGAAGCAGGCCGGAAGCCGTCCGAACACTAGTCGGGCCGCGACTAGGCAGCAAGAGAGGAGAGGCAAGCGAAGCGACCGCGCGGGCAGCCACTCAGAATAAGAGCCAGACGCGAAACTCTCGACCCGGTGGCGTGGAGATCCGGGTGGCGACCAGCCAGTAAGCGCAGCCAAAATGGCGCGGCGGCGCGACCATAAACACGCGGAGGTCCATCACTCGGTGTGAGTCGGCACAAAACACTGTCAGAGACGAGCAGGACCGGCAGGCACACCCGACGACGGCCGTGCCGTAGGCGACACAATTGCATCGTGTCAGTGCAAGAGTGAAGAGGGGCAACCTCGTCACATATAGGACTGCAAACGGCAGTACCTCTTGTTTGTACGGCAGTGGCACGTGTCGAAAGCGAAGGCCTTGCAGGAGGAAGCAGCCGACGGGCGCACCGAACCACACATACCGAAGTCCAAGCGCCGTGGAGGTCGGCAGCGTGCGAGACCCCACTGAACCCCTTCGGTCACCAGTGGAAGCCGACACCAGCCAGGAGCAGGCCAGGGGCCACCTGACCGCCCATTCCCAGTGTGATCCATGCGTGGAATTCGTAGCGAGACCCCACTGAACCCCTTCGGTCACCAATGGAAGCCGACACCAGCCAGGAGCAGGCCAGGGGCCACCTAACCGCCCATTCCCAGTGTGATCCATGCGTGGAATTCGTAGCGAGACCCCACTGAACCCGTAGGTCACAAATGGAGGCCGACACCAGCCAGGAGCAGGCCAGGGGCCACCTGACCGCCCATCCCCAGTGTGATCCTTGCATGGGATTCAGGCTCTCACAACACCACCAGACAGCAGTATTGGCGGCAACCCCAGCCGCGCCGGATAAACCCGGTGAGACAGAAGGAGAGGAGGGGAAGTGCACGCCAGGCACGGTAGGCACCCCGGTGTGGCAGCTAACTGCTGCAGCATTAGGATGCAGAAGGGGAGGTAGGGACACGCGGAGACGCCAGGCACACAGGCACAAGGAAGCAGGAGGAGAGGAGGCGAATGCACGCCAGGCACGGAAGGCACCCCGGTGTGGCAGCTAACTGCTGCAGCGCTAGGATGCAGGCAGGGAGGAAAGGAAGTGCACGCCAGGCACACGGTGTGATGTGTGAAGTGTGAAGAATAATGTTTTTGAACGGCTCAGGATTGTCATAGCGCAACAATTACGTTGATTCGCGGTGTTGAAGTCCCAGGACTAGTGTTTTGGCGCGATTCAAGATCGTCAACGCGCAAAAGTCAGGTTGGCTCGTGGCGTTGAAGTTCTGAAAATGGTCTTTTGGCACGCTTCAGAAATCGCATGGTTGCCCCCCGACGGAGCACTTCCCCCAGTGGGAATGAGCACCTCCGTCTTGAATGTGCACGATCCTCCTCCGAGGCCGTGGTGCCAGGACGTCTTGGGGCCCTCCCTCGAGGGGCCCCCGCGCGCCTCCTGGAGGCAAGCGGGGGCCACGTGGCGGCGAGGGGGTACAGCCACATCGTGCTGCCATAGAAGGATACTTGGGTTACCGCGGTGACTGTGAAGTGGGTGGGAGGTTGTAAATGGATGCTACGATTGCTTAGAGATGGCCTAACCTATCTTAGACATGGGATAGAAATGCCCCAGGTGGCTCAGGGAGAGGATCAACTTCCAGGTTAAGTGGGCTCCGATCTTTCAGCGGAGGTAGCGAAGCCCGATACGCCACTCAGGCCACTTCTGTCCTACTCGCAAGTTAGGCCAGGCCAGACAGAACCCACCTTAACAGCCACTTGTTAGTATAACCCACTTATCCACTTAGCCGCCCCCCCGCGGTGATCCAACTACAACCACATCGTGCTGCCATACCTGTTCAAACTCACCTAACTTCACGCATCACGCCCCGCGATGCGCGAGGCGAACCGCCAAGGAAATTGGGGGGAAAGGGAGAGGGGGGCGGGAAGGACGTGGAGCGGGAGAGGATGGGACATAGGGGGGGTGGGGGAGCAACAGGAAGAGGAGAGGGAGCGGAGGGGGGAGGGAATTGGTGGACACGAATGGACACGGGGGGAAAGAAGCGAACAAACAGAAGAGGCGACGGAATAATGTGAATGGGATGGGGACGGGGAAGCGGGGAGAGGAAAAAATGAGACGAGGAAGGAGGAGAGTGGAGGCTAAGGAGGGGATACCCCAATATGCCCTCAACGCCGCGGGTACCTGTGCAACACTGCCCCACTATAGCACTACGACGTCGGCACGCGGCCCAATATTGCCCCCTAGAAGCAGCGAGATCACGCTAGACGCTAGAACTCACAAGATGCTCCCACGAGGGGTCACGATGGCCCACCAAAGCTCCGATACCCAACGTGGCCCCAAGATGGCCGAGCCTTGGGGGGGCGGCATCATCGGGCACAACCCAACATGGCTCTTACATGGGACATGCGCGTGCGCATGCGCGAGCACGACTGGCACACGAACGCGCGCACGCACACGCACACACCACCCACCAAACACGCACACGCACGCACGCACGCACGCGCACACACGCACAAGCGCACACGCACACACGCACACACGCATACGAGCACACGAGCATACGCCCGCGCGCCAACACACACAAACACGCACACACATACACACACCCACACACGCGCACACACACACACGCACAACACACACACACCACACACACACACACGCACACGCACACGCACACGCACGCGTAAACGCACACGCACACGCACACGCGCACACGCGCACGCACACGCACACGCACACGCGCACGCACACGCGCACACGCACGCGCACACGCACACGCACACACGCGCACGCGCGCACGCGCACGCGCGCGCACGCGCACGCGCGCACGCGCGCACGCGCGCACACGCGCACACGCGCACACGCGCACACGCGCACGCGCGCACACGCGCACACGCGCACACGCGCACACGCGCACACGCGCACACGTGCACACGCGCACACGCGCACACGCGCACACGCGCACACGCGCACACGCCCACACGCCCACACGCCCACACAACTACACGCACACACGCACACACGCACACACACCACACACCGCACCATGCACGCAAACGCACGCGCGCTCGCGCACACGCGCACACGCACACGCACACACGCACACACGCACACGAGCACACGCACGCGAACACGCACACAACACATACACACAACACGCGCAACCACACCCGCACGGGCATACGCACACGCACACGGTCACGCTCACGCTCACGCACACGCGCACGTGCAGGCGCACGCAAATGCGCACACGAACACGCATGCACACACACACACGCACGCAGAGTCATACGCATAAACACGCACGCACACACAATCACACACACACGCACACATGCACACACGCACACAAGCACACACGCACACACACACACACGCACGCACACACGCACGCGCACATACAACACACATAACAACAATCAACACACAACACACCACACACCACAGAACATACAACACAAACCACACACCACGCACCACACAACACAGACCACATAATACTCACAACATACACACATGCATGCACGCACGCACGCCCGCGCACGCGCAAGGACACACGCACGTGCACACGCGCGCACGCACGCAAGCACGCACGCAAGCACGCACCCGCGCACACACGCACCCACGCACCCACGGATCCACGCACGCACGCACGGACGCACGCACGCACCCACGCATCCACCCCCGCACCCGCACCCACACCCGCACCCGCACCCGATCCCGCACCCGCACCCACACCCGCACCACAGAACAACACACACAACACCACACACACACACACACCACACACACCACACACACACACCACACACACATACACCTGTTGGAAATTATGCGTAGTGAGCGTTCGTTACTCACTGGTCCCCGCCATTGTACACGTGTGTTGCCCGCTTCCCTCAGGGGCAGTCCAAGACGCAGCGCAATCCTCCACAACAATGGTACCAACTTAAATGGTCTTCAAGCCCAGCGCCTCTCGTGATACCGTCCTTCCGCACTCTGCTCCAGCGGCTCTCCCAGTGGGAGGATGGATGGTGATGAGAAGGGGTGGCGCGCAAGATGAGGACAGAAACAAACATCTTGGATGTGTGGCTGGACGTATTGCGATGTGCCGCTAAGCGCCCCGCACGGCTGTGGAAGCTATGCTCCCTCGCGCGATCCCCTCGCCGCCTCCGATCAGGAGCGCTGCATTGGAACTCGAGCCCGGCTGCCGCGCGGCGACCCTGATGCAGACCTGCTCGCATTACAAGCTCTACCCCCACCCGCTCTCCGGATTTATCAGACCCCCCCCCCCGGTATATGGTAAGGTACAGATGATTATGCCCCACCGTTCATTATGAATCTGAGTTCATGCCATCCCAGGGGATGCCCTTAATTATCGACACCCCCTCCTCCCTGTCAAATGATGGGATGCGCGCGCACACATTTATAGGCAAACCTACATATTCAACAATCCTTGCAACACGTAAGACAAAATTCACACACGTGCGCGCCGTCTCGCGCGCATCTCAACACTGGATTCGTAAGGATCTCACGATCGAGCAGGAGACCGCAAGAGACCCCCAAGCGATCTCCAACAGACTCCCAAGAGACCTCCACGATGCACCACGAGGCCTCCGATAAGCTATTAAGAGGTATCCGAAGAGGCACCGCGAGGCATCCTAGAGGCCTCTGGCCTTTCTGCTCGCTTCCTCCCCCTCCTCCTCATCCTGCTCCTGCTCCTGCTCCTGCTCCTCCTCCTCCTCCCCCTCCTCCTCCTCCTCCTCCTCCTCCTCTGCTTCCGCCTCCTCCTCTCCCTCATCCGCCCAATCCTCCTTCTCCCTCCTCCCTCCTCCCTCCTCTCCCCCCCCCCCCCTCCCCCTCCTCCGATTTCTCCTCCCCCCCCCTAGGGATATGACAGCTTCCCCGGCCCTTCATTCCACTGCGTGCTCCTACACATCTATGTTCAGGGAAACTTACCTGGGCATCGTTCCTGGATGGGCCAGTTGGGTTATGCGAGCCGTATATAATTTAAGATCCCGCCTCCTTTGATCGATCTCCCACAGGATGGCCACAAAATTGCCCCCGAGGCACCCAAGAGTGCCACAAGAGGGCATCAAGAGGCGCCCGGGAAGCCACTAGAGGCCCCCACGAGGTCCCCACGAGGCTCCCTTTAGACCATCAAGAGGCCCCACGAAGCTTCCCTGGGCACCCAATACGCTCCAAGAGGCTCCCAAGACGCGCCAAAAGGACTCTAAACAACTTTCAAAGAGCATCCAAAGAGACTCCGGAAAGCATCCAAGAGGCCTGTGGCCTTTCTGCTCGTTCTACTCCTCCTCCTCCTCCTCCTCCATTTTCCCCCTCTCCATCCCCCTCCCCCTCCGCCTCCTTCTCTTCCTCCTCCACCGCCGACGACGGACGACAACGACGATACCTCCTCCATCCTCCCCCTCTTGGAGTACGACGGCTTCCCCAGCCCGTTGTTCCACTGCATGCTCACACATCCCTGATCGCCTGGGCAACTCGCCTGGGCATCGTTTCTGGGTGGGCTGTCTGTTGGGGTTACGCGAAGCGTTTGCTTCCTCCAAATCCATCTTAACAGTCTAACCCCTCGTAGTCGTCATACTCCTCATATCGATCATACCCACCCAATCCCTCTTATCTCTTGTATCCCTCCTACCCCTCCTATCCCTCTGACCCCTCTCTTAACCATGATATCCCCTCTACACCTCTTATCCCTCCTATCAGGCGTATCCCTCCTACCCCGCTGATCCCTCCGAAACCCCATGCCCATCATATCACTACTATCCTCCGTATCTCTCGATCACTCTTATCACTCCTATCCATGTATCCCACGTATCAGTCGTGTCCACCGCTTGCCTCCTGTCCCTCCTATCCCACGTATCCGCCGACACATCGTACCCTTCATATGCACCATATTATCCTTGTCATTCACATCCTCTGTATCCCTACCACATATCCTTCATGCCCCCCATAGTTCCCTGAACACTTATCCCGTATGTCCATCCTATCACTCATCTCTCTCCCATACCATTGACTTATCCTATCCCTCTGCCCCTCCTGTACATACATAGTATCCCTGATATCCGTCCTATTCCTCTTCTCCCTCATATGAGGATGATCCCCCATATCCTTCTTAGGCCCCCCCTATCCATCATAATAAGGTCCCATCCTTCCATCATTTCGATCATATCCCTCCTTTCCATCGTATCCCTCTTATCAATAGTATCGGCCATTCCCCTCCTATCTCTTATGTCCTTCTTATCTCTCGTATCCTCCTCATCTATCGCATCATTCCTATCCCTTGTGTCCTGCATGTCTCTCCTATCCCTCTCAACCCTCCCATCATCTGCCTCTTATCACTCTTATCCATCAAATCCCTCCTATCACTCTTATCACGTTTACCTCTTATCCCTCTCATATATCCCTCGGATCGACTCGTATCACTCCTATCCCTCCTGTCCTTCACATCCCTCCAATCACTCTTATCACTCTTATCTCTCTTGTCCAACCTATCACACTCTTGTTCCTCCCGTTTTTGTGTGTATATATATATATATATGTGATTACACAAATACCTTTTATCTCTGAAGTACGCCTGGTACCTCCTACAATCGGGGCTGATTGGAGAGGACACGCGAGAGGACGCAAGACCCTTCCGAGAGCCACATTGCCATACTTAGGGATGTAACGCCATGGGTGGCGAAACACAGCATACCAAGAGTACCCTCGACTTGGCAGGGTTAACCTACTGATCAGCCTCGTCTGCATCCCGACTCTGCCATCTCCCCTTTATCCTTTATCCCCCTTGTCCGTCTTGTCCCTACACTCTTCGAGGAACGGGGCCAGGGCCTCTGTGGAACGGGGCCCTCTTTGCGGCACGGGGCCTCTGTTGTGGAACGGGCCCCTTTGTGAATGGGCCTGGCAACGGGGCCCTCTTTGTGGAACGGGGCTTTTATTATTGCACGGGCCAGGGATTGTTGAACCGGACCCCTTTGCCGAACGTCTCCTTCGTCGAACGGGCCCCTCGTGGAAGCTTTCGTGAAACGGGGCCCCCTTTGTGGAGCGGGGCCTTTATGGAAAGGGCCCCTCTGCGGCTTTCCCGGGCCTTTGTGGAGCGGGGCCCTCTTTGTGGACTGGGCCGTCTTTGCGGAACGGGGGCCCTCTCTGTGGAACGGGGCCCTCTTCGTGGAACGGTGCCTTTGTGGAAAGGGCCCCGCTTGTGAAATGAAGGGCCTTGGTGGAGCGAGGCCCTCTCTGTGGAACGGGAGCAAGCCCGCGCAGGTCTGCGCAGGTCGGAGCGGGTCCGAGCGAGGAGCGCGGGGCGCGCGCCCTCCTGCGCCGACCTGCGTGACCTGTGCTGACCTGCGCTGGCCCGTGCTGACCTGCGCAGAGCTGCGCGGGGAACCTCCTGGGGACCATCTCTGGCCGCAACAGAAAAAACACATCGTCGGAGATCTGGCATGCCAGGAACTGATGTCGTCGTCGTCGTCGTCGTCGAGATCGACGTGAACTGTAAACACCACGACAGAACAAATCATATCGTCGGAGGTCTGATGTCTCCTTCTCCGAGCACTGTCCCGCGAGAGTTCCCGAGGAGGACACCGCTGGCACCAAAGTCCCGACCGCTTCCCCGGGGTACTTTTCCGTCCCCGATCCACCGATCAATTGTTGATGGCCCCTGGGACCGGAAACGGCCCCCGAGGCCGAGATCACAGGAAAGACGCCACTTGGAGGCACCATATCGTCAGAGGTCGGACCCTTTTCCGCCACCGAGCACCGAACTTTCCGAGCCGGGTGATCGGTGGGCGATACGTCGCCAAGAAGTCGGCGACAAGCCCTCGATGGTGAAACCGCACGCTCCTGGGCGGGGTGGGCTATCGGGCCCCTCTCTCGGCGGGCAGCGGGCGATTGCGGGTGGATGGGTCCCTGACTGAGCCTATTACCCCCCGGCGTTGCCCCTGACTCCTCCCGGGCACGGTCCCCGCAACTTTTCCGAGCCAGGCACCGTTATAGCTGGCGCACCCTCGCGTACGGGTGCGTACCGACATCCGAACCCTACCCCCGCCGACCATCGATTCTCCTGAATCGATGGGAGGTGGGGGCAGGGTTCGGATTTCGCCACGTGTTCGACGAATTCCGACCCCTACCCCTACCCCTGCCGCCTGTCAAGTTGCCTGAATAGTTGATCGGGCGACGAGGCCAAGTCCGTCCAACATCCTTCCCTGGACCCCTTCCTTGGTCCATCTGGTGCAGTTTTCCACCCGGGACCCGTTTCTGACGGTCCCAGGGACCGAAAGCAGCCCCTGAGGCCGAAAATGGGGAAAAACTTGTTCGACACTTGTTGGGACGCACAGATACATACCAATAATAGATGCCCTCCTTGGAGGCACGCGTCCGACCCGGACATATCGTATACCCATCTTGTATATCGTTTCCCGAGCGGTATGGCCAGAAAGCGCCCGCCGCGAACCATACACTAGCAGATTTCTCGGTGCGCGCGTCGCCCCTGGGGTAGCGACGCGCACGTAGTGTTGGTATGCTGGGGTGGCGCCGATTTATTTTTGATCTGCGGGGGTAGGGTTCGAACTTCGCCGCCGACGAGGGTCACACCAGGCCGATGGCCCACGAGCGGCCGCCCGCGTTGTGGACGGGGGTGGCGGCCGGCTCGGAGAGGGCCCACTCGTACCAGACCTCTGCGGGCGGCCCCCCTGGCCCAGCCCTCCTCCCCCTCCTCCTCCCCCTCCTCCTCCTCCTCCTCCTCCTCCTCCTCCTCCTCCTCCCCTCCTCCTCCCCCCTCCTCCTCCTCCCTCCCCTCCTCCTCTCTCCTCCTCTCCTCTCCTCCTCCTCTCCTCCTCCTCCTATCCTCCGAGAGGGCGACGTCCGAAAGGGGGGTTCGCAAATCATGGCCGAAGTCATGAGCGCCGGCGAAGAATGAGGGCAGCACAACTCACCCCCGCCCACAGCCAGGAACCCTGCACTCCCGACCTGGATCACCAGGTAGGGAGTGGGGGTCCTGGCTGGGGTGGGGGTGGGTTATGCCACCCTCAGGGAAGAGGTGGCTCTCAGGGGGCTGCCCTGAGCTTTGGTCCCTTCCTGGTCCTTGAACACCCCACCACTCCCCCACTCTCCAGGTGAAAAAAACAGCATAATGAACATGAGCTTTCGGAGCTGGGCGCGGATTTCTTGCATCTGGGCGGACCCCCTGG